GAAGGGCCCAAAGGAAGAGGGAACTCATAGTCATCAGGCGCTTATGCCTGCACAGTCAGCAATCAGTGGAGGTCAACTCTTTGGGGTGAATAGGAAGAAATGGAAGCTCAGGGACTTGAAATAACTTCCCCAGGCGCGGTGGCTCACACTTGTAATCCCAGCACTTAGGGAGGCTGAGACAGGCAGATCACATGAGGTCAGGAGTTCGAGACGAGCCTGACCAATATGGTGAAACCCTGTCTTAAAAACAAACAACAAACTTCCCCAAACACCCACAGGTCAAAGGGGTAGACGCAAGAATTCAATTCAGGCCTGTTATAGTACATTGTTTTATATGTGACATACACTCTGTCCCTCAATGCCCAGCTACAGAATTCTGAAGTCACCTTTCCTGATTCTGGCCCTGCAAGGGCTGGGCTCACACTATGTTGATGCAGCAGGGCTGACTTGGGGACAGTGATTTCACATTAAAGCAGAGACCAAGAAAAATCTTTTTGTTTTAATCTGGAAAAACCCCAATGGCTTGACTATAGCCGTTTCTAACCCTTATTAAACCAAGCCCTTACATTTTATTTTTGAGGTGGAGTCTCGCTCGTTACCCAGGCTGGAGTGCAATGGCGCGATCTCGGCTCACCGCAACCTCCGTCTCCTGGGTTCAGGCAATTCTCCTACCTCAGCCTCCTGAGTAGCTGGGATTACAGGCACGCGCCACCATGCCCAGCTAATTTTTTGTATTTTTAGTAGAGACGGGGTTTCACCATGTTGACCAGGATGGTCTCAATCTCTTGACCTCGTGATCCACCCGCCTCGGCCTCCCAAAGTGCTGGGACCACAGGCTTGAGTCACCGCGCCCGGCCCTGCCCTTACATTTTATCTAAGACTCTGACTCTAAACCTGTGCCATAGAAAAAACAACTAGCATGGTGAGAGGGAGCAGGGTTGAAGACACAGTAAAACATGCAGCTCTCACAAGGTGGCATCCCCTTCTGCAGTGGTAGTGCTGCCCTCCCAGCCCCACCCAGGGGCCCGGTGCACCCAAAGAGAAGCCTGACATTCTCCCAGCCAGAATTAATCACAGGCACATTTTGGTGTGGTTCTAAGAAGCATCTGACCAGTGTAATAGACTTTTCATGTGTCCTGTTGGCTGTGATCCTCACAGCAGCCCTTGAAGATGGGCTGAACACGAGAGACACGGAACAAGAGGCTCAAATAAACAACAAATGAAACCCAAAACTTAGCAGAGGAAAGGAACAGTAATGATTAGAGCAGAGATAAACAAAATAGAGGATTTTAAACAACAGAGAAAATCAATTAAAGCAAGAGCTGGCTGTTTGAAATGACTAACAAAATTGACAGACCTTTAACTTAAAAAGAGAGAAAAGGCCCAAATAACTGAATCCAGAAATAGACGAGAGAACATTATAACACATCTTACAGAACAACACATCTTGCAGAAATAAAAAGGCCAAGAGAATATTATGAACAATTAGATGAAATGGACAAATTCCTAGAAAGACACAACCTACCAAGACTGAACAGACCTACAACTAGTAAAAAGACCGAAGCAGCAGTCAAAAATCCCCCAGAAAGAAAAGCCCAGGGCCAGATGGCTTCACTGGCCAGTTCTACCAAACATTTACAGAATTAACAGTAGCCCTCCTGAAACTCTTCTAAAGAACTGAAGAAGAAGGAACACTTCAATGTTCAGCATTACTCTGATACTAAAACCAAAGACACTACGAGAAAGAAAACTACATATTAATATTCTTGATGAAGATTGATGCAAAAATCCTAAACAACACATTAGCAAACAGATTTCAACAATACATGAAAAGGATTATATGCCATGGCCAAGTGGGATTTATTCCTGGAATGCAAGGATATTTCAATGTAAGAAAAACCAATCAATGTAATACACCACATTAACAGAATAAAGGAAAAAAACACAATCATCTCAGTTGACACAAAAAAAGCATTTCACAAGATTCAACACAACTTAATGATTTAAAACACTCAACAAATGAACAGAAGGAAATTACCTCAACAGCTTAAGGTCAATATATGAAAAGCCCACAGCTAACATGATACTCAGTGATGCCAGAATGAAAGCTTTTCTTCGAAGGTCAGGAACAAGAAAAGGATGCCGCTTTCATTCCTTCTGTTGAACATAGTCCTGGGGGTCCTAGCTGGAGCAATCAGGCAAGGAAAAGAAATTTAAGAGGCATCCAAATCAGAGGTAAGAAATAAAATTACCTCTGTTTGTAAACAATATGGTCCTGTATAGAAAATGTAAACATTCCACTTTAAAACTTTTAGAACTAATAAGCAAATCCAGCAAAGTTGCAGGAGACAAAATTTAACACAAATAATTGTTGCATTTTTATACACTAACAATTAGCAATTTGAAAAGGAAATTAAACTGTTCCATTTACAATAGCATCAAAAAGAATAACATACTTGGAAATAAACCAAGCAGCAAGATGTGTACACTGAAAAATACAACACACAGCTGAAAGCAATTTAAAGGACACAAATAAATCAAAAGATATCCCATGTTCATGGATTGGAAGACAATATTGTTAAGATGTCAGTACTACCTAAAGTGATCTACAGATTAATGCATTCCTTTAATGCAAAAAGAGGAAAACTCAATCCAAAAATTTATATGGAAATATCAAAGGACCCCAAATAGACAAAGTGATCTTGAAAAAGAACAATGTTGGAGGTCTCATACTTCCTGACTTCAAAACTTACTGTAAAGTTACAGTAATCAAAATAGCATGGAGCAGGAATTCCTCCTTATCGGTGGTTTTACTTTCAGTGGTTATTGTTTAATGGGTACAGAGTTTGTTTTGCAAGATGAAAAGGTTCTGGAGACCTTTTTCACAACTCAAATATACTTAACACTACTGAACTGAACACCTAAAAAAAACAGTTGTGATAAAATACACATAACAAAATTTATCATAATTTTTAAAACTCCAGAAATTTAAAAGAAAGGAAATAGAAGAATTTGGTTTATCAGATAAATTTCAAAACAAGTGGGGAACCAAAAGCATAGGGAACTGTAGGGTCCTTTACAAACCATTTCTGCCCTTGCAGAGCCTGAGTCCTGCACCATACCTGACAGGGTCATCTCCCTTGGGCCTTGGGGTCACTGCAAGTGGCAGAGCCAGAGAGGCTGTTGGGGTCCAGCAGGCCTGGTTTCAGTTCCTGCTGCTGCCCCTCACCAGCTCTGGACCGGAGTCCTCATCTTAGTCTCTTCATCTGTTAAATGAAGATAATACCACCTACTTGACAGAGTTGAGAGCGTTAAATAAACAGACGACACAAGCTACTCAATGCGGGGCCCATGCACCCAGGTGGCCCTCGGTCAAGTCCTCACTGGGAGTTAGCCGCCTTCAGCAACACCATCCTGCAAGACTCTCTTTTCCTCCTGCCTCCCTCCTAAGCCTGCTTCATCTTCTTGGATGAAATATTTTTCTTCCTTTGCAGTTGAATCCTTAGAATAGTGAAAACAAAGACCACTGTGTGCTGAGTACTGTTCTGTTCTGGCATCTTAAACCTCTTATTCCAAAGTCTGTGCTGCTCCCGTAGGACTGTTCTCAGCCTGGCGGTAGTCTCCCTGCCTGAGGGATGGTGCTGCCACCTCTTACTGAAGGATTGGTTTCTGAGAGCGAGCGCCTGCGCTGTGCAGCTGTCTCCCATGAGGCACCCTTTGACAAATCTGTCTGCAGTCTCCTATCAATGACACTGTGGCTTCAATGACACAGGCCATCCCTGCATGGCTGTGTCGTTCCCTGCGTGGCTGTGTCGTTCCCTGGCTGCGTCGGGCTTTCCTTCTCCTGCAAATGCTGCCTCGTCTTCCCTTTCTCTCATAACAGCAGCAGGAAGAGCAAGTGCTTTCTCTGCCTCCCCACTGCCTGGCTCCTTCAGCTGTCACTAGCCATCCCCTCTACCCAGCCCTCACTCAGGTGCCGCAATTGCTACTTACTGGCTTCTTCGGGGGACTTGACATACCCTTGAGTCACCTACACCTGAAGAAAACCCTCTCGCCATTCTTCTAAGCAAGCAGTTTGTCTTGTCATGTCCTTTCTGGCTCACATAAGCCCCTCAAAGAGGAGGGGGCTAGGGCCGGCGGTGCAGCAGGAGAGAAGATGGGAAGGACAAGCCCTGTGTCCAGCTTCCTCCTAAATGCTACTCAACCCACAAGGACAGCGGAGGAAAGCAGGCAACATGTTTCTGGAAGATGGAACACAGAAGTGAGTGACAGCTGACTTAGCCTGGAGACACCCAAAACCTAAGCTCCTGCACGGCGAGAGGCCCATGAGCAGTCAGCTGAGCAAAGCCTGCAACACCAGAGGAGTCCAGAACTGCGGCCACAGAGGCAAGGACAGTCCCAGACACAGAAGGGCTGAGAGACCTGCCGCCTCCCCTCAAACCTGACAGAGGACAGCCGGTTCCTTTCTGGAGAGCAAAAATGCCTTGGTGCTGGGGACACACGCCTAGCCGAGTGGTGGTGAGGTAGCACCCTGAAAACGAGCACTGAGGGAAAGTCTGCCGGGCTCCCAGCGCCTGTCCCAGAGCCCCATGCAAGGCCTGCTACCTGCTAGGCTCACAGAGCTCAGCCTTACTTCCAAAGAATGGCTCAGCTTTTCCAGTCAAGATCATGTGTGAAGAAAACCTCTTGAAATACAGAAAAAAGGAGGAGTTAAGAGAAATGGAGGCAATGAAGGGAAGGAAGAAAACTTAAAAAAAAATTTCAGAGGCCAGGTGTGGTGGCTCCCACCTGTAATCCCAGCACTGTGGGAGGTGGAGGCGGGTAGATCATGAGGTCAGGAGTTCGAGACCAGCCTGACCAACATGGTGTAACCTGGTCTCTACTAAAAATAAAAAATTAGCTGGGCGTGGTGGCAGGTGCATGTAATCTCAGCTACTCAGGAGGCTGAGGCAGGAGAATCGCTTGAACCCAGGAGGCGGAGGTTGCAGTGAGCCAAGATTGTGCCACTGTATTCCAACCTGGGCGACAAGCGAGACACCACCTCAAAAAAAAAAAGATATTGGAAATACATATGATGGCAAATAAGTTTTTAATAGAAGAAATGGAGGATAAAGCAGAATATGAAGACCCGGAGGAAAGAAGAAAAGTTAAGAACACTGGAGTTGAAGCCAAGACATCCACCGCCAGAATATCGGGAGTGTCAGAAAGAGAACAAAGAGGAAGGAGGGGAGAAAATGCCCCTGTGATCCAGGATAAGGAGCATTCAGATTGAAATTCCCAGCACAGTCAATGAAAAACACCAGAGTCTACATCCTTGGAAAATTCTAGAATCTGAGGGATAAAAGGAAACCCCTAAGAGCCTTCAGAGAAAAGTTGGACTCACACCCAGGGCACCCGGATCACAGAGCACTGACTTCTCGCAAGTACTCAGGAAGTGAGAAGACAATGAAGAAATGTCTCTAGACTTGTAGATTTCTGAGGGACATGATGTCTAGAATCATCTGCCTAACCACATGATTAACCAAAAGTAGGAGAGAATATACTTCAGCAAAATGTGGCCGTCAGCCCAGCCGGAGGACGGGACAGGAATGAGGGTGGCCTGGATGGCAGCGACACGGGCAGCCCAGACTAGAGCTGGGCAGGGAGGACCTTCCGACGGATGGTCGGGGCCGGGTTCTGACTGTGCTCTCAGAATAACGTGAGGCTGAATTACGGTCCTAGAAACCTAAGCAAAAGGCAAAACAGAAAACCAAACTTGAAACAATTTTTAATTTCAAGAAAAAAAGTGCACCAAGAAAGGAAATGTAATCACAGTAGGCCCTGTGTCTCATCTGAGAGCATGTTTACCTGCGTCTAATTCCGAAATCGATCTGGGGCTGACCCAGCACTGTGATGCGTCTGTTGGGAGGATGGCGAGACATGGTAGGAGAGCCAGGTGTCAGGCTTCTACAGTGATGACAGCAGTGGCACATGCCACATGTGAACAGACTACACAGGATGTGTGCCGGTAACCCACCGCAGTCTCTGAGGCAGGCTGCTAACTGTGACTTCATTTTACAGTTGAGGAAGCTGAGGCACAGAGACATTATGTGATTTGCCTAAAGTCACACAGTTCAAGTCTGCTTTAGAACCACTGTGCTCACCCACTTTATGGGTAAAAAGGCAAGACATGATTTAAGACATCAAGAAGTAGCAGTGTAAGTAACAATACAGAGATAAATGCCAAACACAACAGTTAAAAGCCTTAAAAGTGCTGCCTCCAGGGAGTGGAAAGGGGTAGGAAATTTCATTTTTCTTGTAAAGTGATCTATTTCCATTATGGACACGTGCCATTTTAAAACACTGCGTCAGGGAAAGCCAGGCAGGCACCCGGCTGTGGAGAGCTGGTCTGCAGTGTGACTACAGCCCTGCCTGGCTGGCTGGTCCTAGGTCGCCACCAGCCTGGGACCGAGCTTCCTCACCTGCAGGCGCTGGACTGGGCTGTTTCAAAGTTGTCTTCTGGCTCTTCATGTTCCAGCAACAGACAAGACCAGTGATTTAGAGAGCACGTGCTATAGAGAAAACCAGACAGGGTGATATGACCGAGTGCGCCCAGCCCCAGGTCAGGCGCTGTGGGGGCAGGAGCCACCTGTGCAAGGTGGGGGAGGGTGCAGGAGATGAGGTGGGAGAAGTGAGTGTGCTGCAAGAGACTGACAGGGACCCTCTGGGTGCTGCACTAGGGACAGGCTCCAGGGAAACAAAGAAGCCAGGGGCAGAGGCAGGTGGTGGGGGAGGAGAGCAGGGGGCAGATGTGGCAGAGGAAACGTGGATGGGTCTTGGGGCTGGGATGCAGGTGTGGGAGGGACGTGAGTCCTTCCAAATGCTGAGTCCCCAGGGTGGCTGCGCTGCAGGATCCTGACCGTCATTACCCGACAGGTGCTTCTTTCGGGCTGGCTCCTCGCCCACTGCTGTAGGCAGCCCCTTCCATCCAGTGCTCGCTCCAGACTCCAGCGCTGCTCTCAGCTGGGAACTTTTGTCACTTGCCTGTATACCATCCTCCGTTTCCCCAGCAGCTGACTCCTGGCAACTTTAGGCCCGAGCACTCGCCTCTTCCTCTTCCCTCAGCACCGCCCTACCCCAGGTTCTCCTTCATTCACATCTGGACTTTCCTATTCCGGCATGCCCCCAGGTCTAAACTGTGTCCCCACGCTGGCTGGGGTGTCCCAGGGCTATCGCAGGGCCAGGCCTGTGGGGTGCACGTCTGGCCAGCCATGTGTTTTTCCCAAGGCCACACCTTTCCTAGTAAAATGTGCCTGAAATCTGGGGAACACTGATGTCACACAGGCTGGTGACAGAACCGAGAGGCAGCAGGGGCACACCTGAAGAGCAAAATGAGCCCTAGACCCCCAGAGCAGCTCTTGTTTGCTGAGAAGAAAACAGAAATCCCGAGTTCAGTGTGACTTCTCCAAGGGCCATTTGTCCACAGGATTGGTGGCAAGCACCAGTGTCCGGGGGCATTTCTAGCTGGTCACAAGCCGCTGCTGGTACCTGGACAGCCGCCTTCTTGTTTGCCTGCCCCTGCAGTCCCGTCTGCAAAGCCCATCTGAAGGAATCGCCACACAGGCCGTCACCTCATGGCAGGGGCACACAGGGCAGTGGAGCGAGGAGCTCCCACCCCCTCAATGTTCACTTCCATTTTTGTTTGAGTCACTTTCACACAAATCAGCAAATCACTTCGGTCATTATGTAACAGTCTAGCCCAGACCCAGGCAAGTGGTAAATATTTACCTTCACGCTTGAGCCAAGGTCACCACAGGGAGTCACCATGAAGCACCATTGCCCTCTAAGACCTTGAGAGAGGAAACAGCAGAAGGCCTGGCTGCCAGAGCTCCACTGGGACAGACGGCAAGGACCCGAGTTCCCGGGAACTTAGCACTGAAACCTGTGTTCTCACTGTAGCCAGATAACAGGTGGTTACAAAATTATATGTCCATTTTTTTGCTTATTTCTAATTTTTCTATAATAGTTACGCAGTTTTCAAAGTCCTTTAAAAAACACTGAAAACTGCTCAGGAAAATGGCAGTTCTGTGGGGCTCAGGTAGCAGGGCAGGCTGCTGGGACAGGTTTGACAAACTGTCCTAGTACACTGAGTGCCTTTTCCCAGATCAGCAGCTCTAGAGGGCAGCGGCCTTGCTGGACCCTCCGCCCCACCACGCAGAGGCTGAGAACAGTTAAGAGGGCTGTGCTGGGCTTGGGAGTGGGGGTACCTGCGGACCTGGACAGGGCGTGTCTGGAGGTCCCTGCTAGGGCCTGGACAGGACATCTTCTGGCCTTGAGCTGCGACCCTGGGGTGCAGGGGGTGGAGGCTCGTGTCGTCAGGGAGTCGGGAGGCTGCGCAGTCAGCAGGTCAGGCTGTTTCTGAGAGGAGGTGGTCTGTGGGCGAGGCCGGGCTGCCCCCGCATGGCTGAGGAGCATCGTCCATCCAGGTGCTGCGGGGAGGCTGGGGTCCTCCTCCTGTAGAACGCAGGTGTCCTGTCTGCTACAGACACATCAGGGAAGTCACAAATGTGTGCCCCTTTCTCTAGCAGAGGGATTGGCAAACACCGCGCCTACAGGTCAGAGCCGACCTGGTGCTCGTTTGTGAACAGCCCACAGGCTAGGAACGGTTTTCACGGGATTAAATGGTGGCCGAAAATCGAAACGTCTCATGATGTGTGAAAACCGTTGGCCATTCTCATCTGCGTGGGCAAGTAACGCCTGATGGGAGCACAGCCCGGCGCATTCCCGTGGCGCGAGCTGTGACCCCCATAGGGGAGCGGCCCCGTCCCGACGCTCTGGGCCGCGCTCCCCGCGCCAACCGCGGGTGCAGATGCAGAGCTCCCGCTGCGGGCTCACCAGTCGCCTCCTCTCCCCGCAGCTCTGCCCGATGGCCCTCCTCTTCGTGTACGGCACCCTGAAGCGGGGCCAGCCCAACCACCGGGTCCTGCGGGATGGCGCCCACGGCTCCGCAGCCTTCCGGGCGCGCGGCTGCACGCTGGAGCCCTACCCGCTGGTGATCGCGGGGGAGCACAACATCCCCTGGCTGCTGCACCTGCCCGGCTCGGGGCGCCGCGTGGAGGGCGAGGTCTACGCGGTGGACGAGCGGATGCTGCACTTCCTGGACGACTTCGAGAGCTGCCCTACCCTGTACCAGCGCACGGTGCTGCGGGTGCAGCTGCTGGAGGACCGGGCCCCAGGCGCGGAGGAGCCGCCTGCGCCTGCCGAGGCGCAGTGCTTCGTGTACAGCACGGCTACCTTCCCGCCGGAGTGGGCCCAGCTCCCGTACCACGACAGCTACGACTCTGAGGGGCCACACGGGCTGCGCTACAACCCCCGGGAGAACAGATGAGCGGGGCAGGCAGGGTGGGCCTAGGCCTGAGCCTCCTGGGGCTCCAAGATGCTCCCAGCCCAGCCCATGCTGGGTGAAGGCGGAAGCAGAACAGAGCCCTTTCCAAGGAATCCACGGGAAAAGGAGCCAATATTTCAGTGGCATCTGATTTTACAAATAATGTTGACATGTAAGTAGCAAGCTGGTTCCCTCCCATCTTTCTACCTGATAAGAAAAATGTAGGATTTTAATTCCCCTAAATGGCATTTAGAGAATTTGTGTGATCATGCCCAATTCTTCTTACTCTCCTCTTCCTCCTTGTTCTGTTGCTTTTGTGTGCTCCGCTTTGAGCTCAAGATAACATTTAGGATCACTGTAAAAGACTTCGTGTTGCAGCTAGATTTCAGCAGCGCTACTAGACTGATTGTGGCCTGTAGCCCCTGAGAGAGCTGATTTTAGGCGGCTGGGTAAAATTTATAAAGAAGTCCACAGGGAAAGCATGCCATGTATCAGAATGTGTACAGCACCATTCTTCATATTTTTTATATCAAGCTTCACAGCAATATTAAAGGTTATTTAAAATTGAAGTCAGTGTTTTGGGAAATCAAATATAAAAGTGTTGGTGCTGGGTCTGACCCCCACTTTTTTTAGTATACTTATTTAGTAGAGGGTTCTTTACATTCTGGTCCAAAAAAATAATGAACACCCACTTGCTGGGAGACACAGCTGAGCACCCGGGCTCAAGTGGAAGTTTATCTGAGCCCAGATCTCAGCAGTCAGGCCCCATCCCTGCCCCCTGAAGGGAGAGCATTTGGGGGTGGTCCTTTCAGAGAAGAGCCAACGCATTAGTAATTTGCTCTTCAGGCCTGACAGAAGGTTAGCTTCCAAATACAAATAGCACTTAAAATAATTTTAACAAAGCACGAAGTACCAATTACTACCCACCTCCATCTGATAATTGTCAGCATCGACTCAACTTGGTGCACGGCTTTTTGCTTCTGCTTCCCAGCAAAGTCTGAAACGTAGTCCAAGAATTTCAGAACCAAATGAAAATGCAGCTGCTGTGATCCTCAGTAACCTCGTTCTCTGTTGGGAGAGCTCACTTACTCTTCAACTTAATGGTAGACTGTGATCGCTAACTGCATCTGGTACAAAAGCATGATCATTATTTTTAGCTTCTTTTGCTTAATTGGAAACTTGCTTCACAAAAAAACACAGAAAGGCTGGGATGGTCTCAGCTGATCAGCTTGTGGCAGCCCCATCCTTGACGGGGTGGGTAAGGCCCCCCAAGCACCCTGTGACTGCCCCGCTTGTGCAATGGGAAAGGGACCAGACAGCATGCTCACTCTCAAAATAGTGCAGACGGAGCACCCCAGGCTGCCAGGAAGCCTCAAGGTGACCTCCATAGGGGTCAGCCATCAGCACCACACCCACATAGAGAGCCACAGCAGGAAGGGGATTGCCTAAATCTGCATCTGCACTCCCCAGTCCTTAAGAAGTTATGAAAATCAGCACCAGGAGTGAGGGCCTCACTTCCAGAAGAAGGCAGGCAATGAGATGAAAAAAAGTCAAGTGCTAATAAAGCCAGGCAGAGAAATGACATTTATAGCAAACTTCCAAAAGGATCACAAAGAAATGCTGGTGGTCCACTGGCAGAGCCTGTTGCCTAAGTATACATTGTCTTCATTCAAAAAAAGGGGCGAACTAATAGTTAGACAAACGCTGTTTTATTGTTTTCAGTTTGACACTAGGAAATCTCACAGGAGAAGTACAAATCATACGTACAGCATTTACATCAATGAAAATTTCCATTGGTGATTTTTTTTGGCAGAATATTGGTCTTGATTCTGTGTAATATGACGATGTAAAACGTAGCTGCATGGGAGTGTTCTGTAAAATGCCTGAATCAATTGTGTGAAAGCATCACGCAAATGGTGAATTAATTTGGGTGATGACTGAAAGGTTATAAATCATTCATTCCAGTTCCACGAGCAGATCCCCTTCTCCAACTGTGTCTCCAGCTCGACAATGTACAGATTTCACCTTGAATTTTTAAACATGCAGGGGGAGAGGAGAGTAAGAATTAGTAACCAGATCCAGGAGGCAGTAGGCTCCTAATCCACTTTTAGAAATGCACAGTCCTGCAGACCCAGCAGCCCCGGCACGAGCCGCCCCACCGGAGCCGGTCGGAGGGACCCTGGTGAACGGCGAGGTGCCCTGGTGGCTCTGCCGCACCCTCCCCTTTCTCGCCTCCTCTGTCCTCAGCACCTTCACAGTGGCCAGCCTGAGGGCTGCGCTCTGGCCCCTCACACTGGGCGCACTCAGGTTGAGGCGGGCTTTTCACTGCCAGGTGACTTCTAACCCCTGGCCGCCCCCTCTTCCTGTGGTTTTAGGTTGTGGAAATGTTCTCTGAGAATTAACGGAATATTTAGTGTAAAAGAAAAAGAATAAAACATTCGATAGTCAGATGAGCTGCTGAGTAGGAAGAGGACTTCCCTAGCGTGAGCGCCACCTTCCTTTTGAAGGAAAACAGAGTCCTCGGCAGTGGTGGGGCTGTGCGGTCGCCCTTTCCAGCATCATGGGTGTGTGGACTGTGCCTCCTTGTCCTACCAATTTTGGTTAGTCTTTATCAAGTTTTGCTTTCCCAAATTTGTGTTCAGGCTCAATTAGCAAGGAGGGGGCTGAGGTGGGGAAGAGACAGTCATCTGACTTGGTGGAGGCTCTGGCTCGGGCCTGAAAATTAACAACGGGTTGGAACTAATCAGCCACTGCAGACCTTGCTGCTTGGACTGAAGAGGCTACTTTCCACGATGCTCCTGTCTCCATTTAGCAGCCCTCCTACATGACGTCGTTTTAGTGATGCTACGATTGCCACAGCTGAGGATCTGTTTCCTTTGTGAACTTTTTCTCTGGGAGGAAAAGTGGCCTCGCAGGTAGGAACCAGGCCCTGCTACTCTGCATGGGGGCTTCGGGCCACTTCTGTGGTTCCTGGCTAGGTTGGAATGGAGAGGCCTGGGCATGGGGAGAGGCGAGCGCAATGCACAGCATGGCTACAGCCATGAGGGTGGAGGGAGACCCAGGCCATGAGGACGGGAAACCCACTGATGCGTGGCACCACGACCCTTCAGGGAACTAAGGCCAAGTTCATCTCTGCATTAGCACCTCGGTCCCACAGCACAGGGCCCTTGGCGTGCAGCAGACACACCTTCTCAGTCCCCACAACTAGGCCAAGTTCTCATCAGGGATGGGTGTCATGACACTAGCAAGCACAAACGTTAAATCCCAAAGAACCAATAAAAGCATCTTTACATCAACAGAAACCAATGTTTTCTTGTTCACTTTTTTAAAAAGTAATTTAGAAAGAATTCCTTAAAACACTGCAAATCATGCCATTTTACTCTCCACATCCCACCAAGACGCCGCAGCTGTCTGCACCCCACCAGACCTGCTGCTGGCTCCCGAGCGCTGGCATACACCTGGGCCTCTGTTCTCCCTGCCCCTTCTCTGAGAATCAGCTTCATTGCCTTCTGCAGTGACAGAGCACGATACTGAGGCCGCGTCTCTCTGATGCAAACCTGGTTTTGAACTGATGGATCTCTTTGTACCCAGTGGTCCCAAGACATGGCCACATGCAGAACATGGCCAGCCCCGCGCTTCCAATCATGCCCCACCCTGCAGACACTTCCCAACCCAAATGGCCCTCGGAAAAGATCTTTAGCTACTAATGGGATCCTTTTAGTCACAGGTAGAATAATGAAGTTATTGCTTAAAAAGACTTTTGTATTTTCTTCAAGGAAAAAATACACTTAAGTTTCACTATAAATGAATTTCAGTACTAATAGATACTCTCCTTTTTTTCTCCCTAAATAATTAAGTCCCACGTGCATATGGGGTTTCAGCTTATCTTGATCTGCAACTGAATTGTTCTCTTTGCAGAGAAATTGTCTTGAAGAGTTACATTAATTTTTGCAATCTGTAAAACCATTTCCTGCTGTTTGACCTAAGTCTCAGATAACTAACTGACTCCAAGACAGATGTAAACATTAAAAATTAAAGAGCCCTTAATTTGAAAGACATTAAGGTGAAGAACAATTGTTCTTTGACTACCTGAACATAATACACAGACTTTTTTGGAAGGCATGCTCTGGATGAGGCAGGGACGCATCAGGGCAGGATGGAAAAGCTCCCAATCCTAGTGGCCTCCTCTGTAAAAGGGAGAAGGGGAAGAGGGCGCCTGCCTCTGCGGTCCCTTTGCAGCCAAATCATCCATGATTCAAAGGTGGATGTTCCTCCATCACAGGCCGGCCTGGGCTGATGGGGACTTGGGGACTTACCGTGCCAGTTTTCCCAGCTGTCATACTATTCTGCATTTTCATGGCTTCAATCACACAAATTTCTTGACCTTCAGCGACCTGGAAAACAAAGGAGTTTTAAAAGCATCTAATTTGCAATAATGCTTAGGAACGAAGCCATTACGAAATTACCTTTCAAATGCCCCAAAATTTGTGTCTCTAAACAGCTGCAAAGATCTCTAATGTTTCCTATTCCAAACTCATCTTTAGGGACAGTAGAGAAAAGCCATTCTCTCTAAGTCCTTGTTGGAAAAAAGTCAGGGACTTTTTCCCTGACTGGGGGACCCTGGAGAACTGGGGACCCCGGCTGCCTGGGGGGCCTACCCTGGGTATCTCTGGGTCTGGCTCTGCCACTGACAGAGGTGCTGGGAAATTGGGATGTCTTCCACTTACCTGAAACGTCCAGAAATCTTTACAGACAGACTCAAGGTTGCCTGGGGGTGAAGGGGGAAGGGGAATGACTACTGAAGGATACAGGTTTTTTTTTGTTTTGTTTTGTTTTTGAGATGGAGTCTCAGTCTGTCACCAGGCTGGAGTGCAGTGGCTCGATCTCAGCTCACTGCCACCTCTGCCTCCCTGGTTCAAGCAATTTTCCTGCCTCAGCCTCCCAGAGTAGCTGGGACTACAGGCATGTGCCACCACACCCAGCTAATTTTTATATTTTTAGTAGAGTCAGTGTTTCACCATGTTGGCCAGGAGGGTCTTGAACTCTTGACCTCGTGATCCACCCACCTTGGCCTCCCAAAGTGTTGGAATTGCAGGCGTGAGCCACTGTACCCGGCCAGGATACAGGTTTTTTTTTTTTTTTTTTTTTGAGACAGAGTCTCGCTCTGTTGTCCAGGCTGGAGTACAATGGCGCAATCTTGGCTCACTGCAACCTCCGCCTCCCAGGTTCAAGTGATTCTCTTTCCCCAGCCTACTGAGTAGCTGGGATTACAGGTGCCTGACACCACACCCAGCTAATTTTTGTATTTACAGAGGAGTAGAGATGGGGTTTCACTATATTGGTCAGGCTGGTCTCGAACTCCTGACCTCATGATCTGCCTACCTCGGCCTCCCAAAGTGTTGGGATTACAGGCGTGAGCCACCACACCCGGCCTTGTACAGGGTTTCTTTTGGGAGTGATAAAAATGTTCCAAAATTGATTGTGGTGACAGCTACACAACTCTGAATTGACTAAGCCACTGAATTGTACAGTTTCAAGGGCTAAATTGTATGTGAATTACAGTTCAGTATAGCTGTTACCAAAAACAAAACAAAACGAAACAAAACACCAAAAGCACACCTTTCTGTCTATAGTCCCGGGGAGCTGGGAACAGCTCAGCCCTGGTGCCCCGAGGACCACTGTCCCATCCTCTACACGACACACTGAGTACCCATAACGAGGCAGCTTCTGAAAAGCCCTTCCCCACTGGGAATGACTTCCAGGGAGCTACACACATTCCAAGGCAGGAAACTGGGAGTGCCCAGGGGCCCTTGCCCAGACTGCGTTCAGAGCTTGCCTTTCATTCTGAGGGGCAGCCAGGCTGAGCTGGGTGGAAGCTCACTGGAGTTAAGCCCAAGGCTTCACTGTAGGAATTCACTGCGGCTGAAAACCATGCTACACACTCACTTCACTCTGCCTCGATGGGTCAGCATCCTGAGCCAGCCAGGTTTTTCTCTTGCCTTTATGAAAAAGGGCCTCCCAGTCTTTGAAACGGGCAAGTCCAGGTTCCTAGGGCAACGGCTATGGGTGTGGGTGGGCGTCCTGGCGTGGGGCTCCTGGCCCGTCACACCACCGTGGCCATGCTCGTCCAATGCCACTGAAATGCCTAGAAAATGTTCTTTCCTGAAATCCCCAGATGATCTCAAGTTCCCCTCCGGGCCCCCCATGTGGCACAAGCTGTCTTGCTGGCACTCTGGAGCGCCCGAGCCCGAGGTACTCTTTTCCTCTGCTGTTCAGGTGGTGGGCTGCTTTTTCCTGGCACAGAAATATAGGAAAAGAGAGGATGCCAAGGCTTTGGCGCTGGCACAGAGGAGAGACACCGCGCTGAGGAGCTGGGCCTGGAAATGCAGCCCGCGCTGCCCTTTTTGATTCATTTTCACCTGGCATCTGCATTCCAGGGAGAATGAAGAATCGGCCTCAAGTGCTATTTGCAGGGGGATGGGAGGGGCAGCGCAGAGACAATGCAGAGGCCCCAGTCAGGGGCCTAAGAACAGTCGCTCCCTCCAGCCGGCATTTTAGAGCCCTTTTTCTCTCTTAAAAGGCAGGCAGGGACCAGGGAAGCCAGGAGCAGGCCTGGTTCACTGTCTGCACCTGCCAGCCAGCTGTACACAGAGGATCCTGGAAGCCCAGCCGTGTCCTCTTTGAAGCTGGACTCACTGCGACCCACTGTTACCCAGGACTGGGCACTCAGGCAACAGGACCGGGGACTCTCTGGGAAATGAATCTGAGACTCAAAAGAACATAATGGAAATGCCATCCAAAAATTAGGAATCCACCTTCCTGCTCTGGGCACTATTCTCTCTCCAGACGGAGGAGCTCTCTGGGGAATACATGCCGGCCTCCCACACACCCACTCAGCCCTTTCTCTGCAGGCATCTGAGGGCCCAGGACTGGTCGGAGCCCT